GTCCTTATTGCCTCGCTCTCAAACCAACCTTCCTCTGAAATCCACCTCCTCGAGCACCCCACCCAGTGTGCTTATTTCACACACACACACACACACACACACACACACACACATCAAGCTGATTATGAAGTCTCTTGTTCCTTCTCTCATACCTCTGAAGAGTATCTTTTTAGAAACTATTCTAGCCATATCTCCAATTTTCCACTGTTGGTAAATCAAGTCTCACTGCCTCCATCGAGTCTCCATCACCTGCCAGCAACCTGTGCCCAGCTCTCAGCTGCCTTTCTGCAGTTGGCCCTCCACAAACAGCCTCTTTTTCACCCTTATTGGGACCTACACGAATCCCCAGCTTCCATGTCAGACACCACTTGCCCCCTACACCCCAGGGGCCCATTCAGGTTCTTAGTGGTTGATGAGCACTGAGAGCACATTTTAGTCATCTTGTATGCTTTTGGTGAATGAAAGAAGACCAGAAACATGGCACAAGCCTGGAGAAAGTGTTCTCTCTCACACTCCCTCAACACCAGGCTCCACACCAAGTGGAAGGCAGAGGGAGGTAAATGAACAAATACTGCTTGGGCCAAATAAACGCCCCAGTTATTCTTGGGGAGTCTGCACAAGGGCCACAGAAGACCGACCATTCCAGAACAAGCCGTCACATCACAGTGGAGACGATGACAAAGAGGTGGCATTTGACAGAGACAGTTCTCCAACCCGCCCTCCAGCTCAGTCCACCACAACATGTGTTTCTAAGGCACACAAGTACTACAAAACTAGCAGAGACTGCATAGCTTTCAGCTCATTCTGGAAAGAGTTCCCTGGCAAAGAACCTCTTTCTCGATGGAACCCTTTCTCACTCAGAGTGAGCACTGGAACAGGGTTCTGCTCATAAAGACCAGTGTGTTCTCCACAGTGGACAGTGACGGAGCTGGGACTGGACCAGCATGCGTGTGCCTGCTCTGGGGAGGGACCCTGCCCTGGGGAGCCAGTCCTGATGCCAACACAACCTCAGACTGGGAAATGACATCACGTGGATGGGGTTGACACCCAGGTAGCAAAGGTCACATCCTCTCAAACATTATTAAAAGTCAATTTCAACTTACTAAAAGTCTTGTCCGTGAAAATCCCCAATAATCCGTGTGACTGAGGGACTCATCTGAGTCTGACAGCTGGTGCGCACCCACTCTACCCACAGGCGCCTGGAGTGATTTCTGTGCCCTCCAGACATCAGGTACCAGCCACATAAAACAAAATTGCAAAGAAGTAGGGTCCCTTGGGGTGCCTGGGGCTGAGTGGGTGGTGTCTTATCACAGCACAAGAGGCAGTGAGTGGCAGTTAGTGCCTGGGTGGAGGCCTGGCTGTGGGAAAGTAAATGACATCTGCGTTATCACCCTCACCCACACCAAAGCTGAACCCACAAGGCCTCCCATCCCTGGGCGGAAATCAGAGCCAATCAGCACCCTGCCTGTCGTCTTCCCTAACTGCAGGGCACCATCTAAACATCAAGTCTCGTTCATTAGAGTCGGTCAAGGTGAAATCTGACTCCCTGGTCTGGTGTGTGCTTGCACACCAAATGCAGAAACCACAGAAGTGTCTCGAAGACGTCAATCAAGACTTATGACTTTAAAGGGGAAAAAGGCCACCAAAACGCTGACCTTTGGCAGCCAAGTGGACGGAGGCAAGGCATTTTCCCAGTGGGCAGCCACACCACATGGCACAGCTCGGCTCCTGGAACAGCCCAAGCCTGCATGGACCCATCAGGAAATTCATAACTGCAGAACAGCACCAGGGGGCTGTGAAAATGGGGCTTTGTGGAGGAAACACAGATCTTCCTGCAGCGAGGCCAGGACATGTGCCCCGTATGGGGTTGTGTGGGCACAAAGAACCAGCCCCCAGAACAGAGGACACAATCGAGAGGAACCTGAATTGTGCTGGCCCCACAGGAAGGGAAGATGTGTCCCCGCAGCAGCTCTGCTGGGTACACAGCAACCCAGTGCTGGTCTGGGCTTCTGGTGGCACAGAAGAGAAGATCCCCAGGACCTGAGCAGCGCCCAGAGACTTCAGGGTCGTGCCAGAGAGACCAGGCCAGATCTGATCATGTACTCAGGAGACCCTGGGTGCAGCTTGAGAGGGAACCGTGTCTGCATTTCAGAAAAGCACACCCTAGAGAACACCCACATAGAAGGGCAGCTCCGAGCACGGGTTCTTAAATCTGGCAGCACTTTCAAAGGAAAGGTGATGAACTCGTTCAATGGGAGTGTGGGGCGGGGCTCTCGCCTGTCTGAACAGCAGTATTGCATGGGCAATATTTATTTTACCAATTTGCTTCTAAAATCTAGATGGAAACACAGACAATCCTTACAATGTGGTTTTCAGACCTACTGCACAGCTGCAGTGGTCC